CCACGAAAGTAAAAGCCTATTCAAACTGTAGTGTCTCTTTATGCTGGTTTGTGTGTTCTCCAACACAACTCTCACAACGCTTCACTGAACATACTCGCTCTCCCAGCGGGGAGCTTACCTAACAATTCTCAACAAACGTGATTCCCAACCCATGGAGGGAAAAAGGGAGGGATAGTGAGCGTGAGATGTTTTAATTTCAGGAAAACCCAAAAACCCAAATCAAATTGATGGATGATCTCAAGACCTGTATTGCTGAACATTGTACAATTTCCTCCATATGAAAAAACAAAAAAACAACAGTCACAAACAGAAACATAACAACAGTTCACCCAACTGATTATACAATTCTTAGCAAAAAAAAAGGTTGGAAGTGTGGAATTGAGGACCAAGACTAGATTTTGGTGGAGGGGGTGGAGAATTCATTCCTCAATCTAAAGTAAAATGTGTTTTACAGCCCATTTCCTCCATATTCCTCTTTCTGACATTCTGCTGTAAGATCGGCCCTCTGTTCCTACCAAAGAGGTGAAGTGGTAAAGATCTTCCTTCAGAATTAAACCATTGGTCTGAAAAACAAGAAGGGGAGAAAAAGAGAGAATTGGTAGAAGAATGGCACTTCAGAGAGAAGGTCACTTCTGAAGTGTGCAATATCAATTTATATTGTTTATAATTTATACAGTGGCTCATGTGGCAAAATACCTCTCAGTAAATCACCAAATCAGCAGTCTGTCAGGGTTCCGATTATATATCACCCATACTCCATATAATCCCCCCTTCCCAGTAGAAAATGTGGCAGGCCTTGAAGGCCCAGTGCAAAAGATGGCTTCCAGGTCTGACACAGTCATGTGACATGCGTTATAACCCTGCTGCTTAGCCACCGAGTCCTCGGGTCCAATAGCTGTCAGTAAGTGTGATTATCTGTAATGGCCTTGATGGCTCCTGATTCAGTCAGCACAACTTGCAGAGGTGGTATTTAGCCAGTTCCGACAGGTTCTGGACGCAGCACATAACTCCCAGATGGCCCTGGCCCCCTCTCTGCCTCTGATGCAGAGCCTCCTCTTAGCCTTCCCCAGACTCCAGGACTGGCCCATGTTCCTCCCCAACCTCCTTGCTGTCCGACTCTGCTGCCAGCTCCGCAGTGGACAGTGAAGAAACCATATTAATGGATCATCAAACGAATCAGCCCAGGCTTTTTACTCAAGGCACACAGGATTGGGCTTTCCTGCAATGGTTCTTGATATGTTTTAGGCTCCTTTCCCCAAATTATTTTTGTTGCTCTTCTCTACACTCTCTCTCGACAGTCTCAACATCTTTCAACATCAAATGACACTACAATGTCGCTTTTTTCATTCAACAGTGGCAAAATACTGTGGAACCCCATAGAGTTCTGAATGACTTTGGCTTGGTCTGCCTCTCAAGCCAACAGACCTACCTCACAGGGTTGTGATGAACAGCGTGGGCATGTAAACCCCTGCAGGGGGATGCAAGAGCCCTTGGGGCATTTCCTTCTTCTGCCCATGGATTCTCTGGTGACTAACGAGATGCGATCTCCGACTAAATCTCTTCTCGCAGTCGGGGCAACCGTACGGTCTTTCTCCCGTGTGGACCCTCTGATGGCTGATCAGGTTGGTGCTTCGGTTAAATTTCTTCCCGCAGTCCCCGCATTCATAGGGTTTTTCCCCCGTGTGGATTTTCTGGTGCATTTTCAAGCCCGACCGACGGGAAAAGTTCTCGCCACAATCGGAACAGGTGTACAGCTCCCCGGTTGTATGGATTCTCTGGTGCCGGAGAAGGTGTTTGTTCCGGCTGAAGCTTTCCCCACACTCGGAACACTTGAACATTTTCTCACCCATGTGGTTCTTCTGGTGCCGGATGTACGTGGACCGATCGCAGAAGCTTTTGCTGCATAGCAAGCACACGTAGGGCTTTTCACCCGTGTGGCTTCTCTTGTGAGTGATGAGATGGTGGCTTTGGTTGAAACTCTTGCCACACTCTGTGCACTTGTAGGGTTTGTCGCCAGTGTGGAGGCGTTCGTGGCGCATCAGGCTATATTTGTCGCAGAACTCCTTGCTGCAGGAGGCACAATGGTAGGGCTTCTCCCCCGTGTGCATGTGCTGATGGGAGACCAAGCTGGAACTACGGCTGAAGGTCTTCCCACAATCCGAGCACTGGAAGGGTTTCACCCCAGCGTGGATTTTGCTGTGGTTGTTGAGGTGCGAGCTGCGGCGAAAATGTTTGCCACACTCCGAGCATTCGTAGGGTTTTTTCTGGCCGTGGACTCGGATGTGCACGATGAAGCCGGCCCTGGAAAAAAAGGCCTTCCCACAATCGGAGCATTCAAAGAGCTCCTTGCCAGTGTGGGCCTGGAGATGCTTGTTGAGGCTATGGAATAATTTGTCACTCGGTTGCTTCCCTTTGGGAATTGGTTGCCTGAGGATGGTTGTGTAGAGATCTCTCCTCTTCATTGCAACAGGATCGGTCTCCGGCTCTTCTGGCTGTTCTTCGGTTGGCTTGTTCGGATTCAAGACAGGTTCTTTTAAGTCCTGAATGTTTTCTCTCCCTGCCATCATCTCCTGGTGGTCTCTTTGCCTTTTGTCATCTGCCAAATACAAGAATACCCCCGCCGATTAGTACCTCTCTCTTTAGGGTTCAAGCAGGGCAAGCAATTCCTTGGGCTGCTCAAACATGCCGAGGAATAAGGAAGGGGGATTGGAAGTTTTGCAGAAAAACCCATTTTTTTGGCTGGGGAAGAAAAAATGGGAACCTCAGCAGCAGGCCAGTGAAAATACAGATAGTCCTCGACTTACGACCAATCGCTTAGTGACCATTTGAAGTTCCAATGGACACCCCAAACGTTAATTATGACCCAGTTCCGAAATATCCAATGGCTCCTCCCTTGCCTCCCGCAGTCATGTGACCATATTTTGGGCACTCGGCAACTTTTGTTTACTTCCGGTTTTTGACAAAAATGCCTTAGAGTGAAGAGTGAGCTCACTTAACGACCACTGAAAAAGAGGTCATAAAATGAGTCCAGTTTGATGTAATCACTTTACAACTATTGTGATCTATGACCTTAATGAGCAGAGTCTATTACGGTCATTAAGTTGAGGATTACCTCTCCTGCCAATGGTCACCCAACTGCCAAGTAGGGTGAGATATGGAAAGGTGGAGTGTGGAATGTCTCAAATTAGCAGCACCTCCTGCTGCAACTTTTTATTACATTAAGTTATACACATAACGAAATATACGTTTTGTCCATTTTAATGTATCCATCTGGTTCTGGCTGAGACTCAGTCTTCTTTTGTCTGACCATTGTTTTGGTCGTGGCTCCTCCTTCTGTCCCTCAAGGTTAGTCCTTCTTCCCATTACTGGTAGTCCTCAACTTACGACTACAATTGAGCCCCAATTTTCCATCGCTAGGCAAGACAGTTAAGAGAGTTTTGCCCTCTTCTATGGCCTTTTTGGCCACAGTTGTTAAGTGAATCACTGCAGTGATCACATTACTTTTCAGAAGGTCACAAAAGGTGATCACATGACCCTGGAACATTGCAATTGTCATCAATACAAGCCAGTTGCCAAATGTCCAAATTAGGATCACGGGACCCATGGGGATGCTGTAACAGTTGTAAGTGTGAAAAATGGTGATAAGTCACTTTTTCCAGCGCCATTGTAACTTTGATTGGCCATTAAATGAATGCTTATAAGTTGAGGGCTATCTGTACATTCACATGGAATTAGAGGCCTTTCACATGCTGCTGAACTACAATTCCCAGAGGTCTTCACTCTCAGCCAAGTGAACTAGGGCAGCTGAGAGAGGATCAGCAACATTCTGAAGGCTGAAGATTCTTTGCATTTGTAGTCCTCATGTTATGAGGGCAAAGGGGACCGGAATTGCCATTGCTAAACAACACCAGTGACGTGCGGTGAGGTTTATGGCTGGTGAGGCACTGATACAGGGGTTTCAAATTTTTTTAGA